CTGCCTGTAATGGTTGGTTGGATCACCTTCCTCTTGCTTTGCAAGTGTGATAGCGGTTCTTACAGCCTATTAACTGTCGTCTTTGTACATAGTTGTCAAATAGTTAGTCATTAAGTTTTAAGTGTGTGTTTAGTTAGAGTCCCAGCAGGGACTTTGCCCCGAGGCAAAAGCATGCCCATTTCGTCCTGCGACAGGCCTATGCCTGTTAGTGACTCCCACAGCAGCTTCTTGAAGTGCTTGGGAGAGTCGCTCATAAAGGAGAAGTGCAGAATTTGTAAAAAAAAAAAAAAAAAAAAAAAAAAAAAAAAGAAAAAAAAAACCTTTCGTCCTGGGACTCAGAAAGAGCGGGACATCTGCTTAAAGGCCCTCCTCACTGAGGGCCGCACTTCGCCCGGCATTGGAGCTCTCCCACTCTGATTCTGCGCCCAGCACCTCTGTGTCGATGTGGAGCTCTCCGCCGGCACCATTTCCCCCTTGCCAGTGTCCAAGAAGCGGCAAAAGAAACAACACGGCTCATTGGCACTGACCAAGGAGGGGAAGGGGGTTTTGTGCAAAGGACCCAGTTCAGGCCATGCACCTGCCCTGGAGCTGCAAGGGGGTGTTGCTCTGGTCGGACCTCCTGCCCACCCAGGATCTGCCTCCGACTCCTCGGAGTGACAGGGGACCTTGGCACCTACTAGTGCCTTCAGCGCCTGAGGCCTTCCAGGTGGCTAGGGACCTGATGCACCTTCCGGTGCCACCTACACCGTGCCCGACATCAGATGTAGCTAAGGACCCGCAACCCAAGGCCAAGCTATGCATGAGGCCACCACAAAGGGCAGTGGAGTGCCACCGGTCCCCGAAGCAGGCTCATAGTTCCCCATCTCTGTGTTCACAGTGTAGATAGCCCAATTCAAGGCACTGGTCTCTGTATTCCCAGCAATGGCCAGCTTCTTGCCAGCAAACACCCCAGCATAGACCCCCCCAGATGACCCTCAATGTGTCAGTCACCACTGGAGTGGGACTGCTTGCCACCATGGCACCGGTCTCCGTTGCCCCGGCACTGCTCATTGGAAAGACTTTGGTCCCCACCGTCCCTCGCACTGAAAGTAAGCCGCCAGACACAAACCTCCATGGCTTCACCCTGGTTCCTGGAAGGTGACTGGTCTGAGTCAGAACCAGAGTTCAGCCCTTCATCAAGGAAGCACCGATCTCCTTCAGCTCCAGAGACCAGTATGGCACCCATAGCAGCTATGTGGCAGCTGGGCCCAGTGGCCAGCTAAAGGGCTTTATTGGAACCCTTGATCCCGGTGCCATATTTGCACCACTCCAACCTGGCTGCTTCAGACAAGCCACCTCCTGCTTCATCAGCGGCAGGCTCGGAGCACGGTGCGGACTCCAACACAGGGCTAAGAGAGCAGGTGTCGACACCTAGGGAGCCATGGTGGTGGGTCCTTCCCATACCAGCCTTCCTAAAGACTTTAAGGAGCACCAGGCCCTCCTCAAAAAGGGTGGCTTCCAACCTAAATCTGGAAGTTGAGGAGCTGGCAGAGCAGTTGGACACTCTCTTTGACGTGCTATTGGCTGCAGCCCCGGAACGGGTTGCGCTGCCAGTCCATGAAGAGGTTCTCAAGATTGCTACAGCGCTGTTGCAAACCCCCTCATGTATTCTGCCAACTTCCAAATGGGCAGGAAAAAAGTATTATATCCCTGTGAAGGGTTTGAGTACCTCTATACCCACCCACCCTCTGGGTCGCTGGTTGTATCAGCAGCCACCAAAAGGGACAAGCAGGGTCAGGTTAGCACCACACCTAAAAATATAGATGCCAAGAGACTGGACATTTTTGGCAGAAAAATGTATGCAACATCCAGTCTACAGTTTTGGGTGTCCAAGAACCAGGCTTTTTTGGGGAGGTATAACTAATCTGTGGGACTCCCTTAACAAGTTTAAAGAGGCCCTCCTACAGGACCTCCGCCAAGAGTTTGCCATGATCCTGGAGGAGAGCAAGGCGGTGGCAAGGGGCTCCCTTCAGATGGCCAGGGATGCTGCAGACTCAGCAGCCAGAGTTGTTGCCTGGGCAGTGGTGATGAGGCACAGCTCCCGGTTACAATCCTCGGGTCTGTCCCAGGAAATGCAGTCCTCCATCCAGGGCTTCCGTGTGAGGGCACAGGGCTCTTCTCGGAGCTAACGGATGCAAGACTGCATGGCCTTAAAGACTCCCAAGTCACTCTGCACTCACTGGGCCTCCAAACTCTGCAACTGGTGAGAAAGCAGTTCCAGCCACCTCCTAGGTCCTGAGGGTCTCCTTGGCACGGTGCCTACAGGAGGAAAGACGGGGGGTGGGGGAGGGTGTTGCCCCTTGTCCTCTCACCTGCCTGCCCGGCCTTTTGAGACACCCAGGGGCTGAGAGGCAGTCGTTTTGATGCTGTGCTTGAGGACAATGCCTCATTCAGATCCCAGGATCCACGTTCCTACTCCTTCCTCAACCACCTGTTTACCTTCTGGTCGGCATGGTCACAAATAACCTCAGACCATTGGGTGCTCAGTATATCATCTTTGGGCTACACCCTGCAGTTCTCAGCCACCCCCACTCTTACCCCATTCCTCTTCCACGAGTAACTCCTTGTTAAGGAGGTGGAAAACCTCCTGCAGCTGGGGGCAGCAGAGGTGGTCCTCGGTAAATGAGGGGAAAAGGGTTCTTCTCCCAATCTTTCCTAATCCCAAAAGGAAAAAGGGCGTAAGACCAATTCTGGACCTGCGATGCTTCAACAAATATTTCAAGAAGTTGAAGTTTTGCATGGTCTCCCTGGCATCCATCATCCCCACCCTGGATCCAGGATACTGGCAGACACCCTCGGCTTGAAGGACGCATACCTTCATATCTCCATTTTCCAAGGGCACGGATGGTTCTCCATTTTGTGGTGGGCCAGTGCCATTTCCAATTCATGTGCTTCCCTTTGGACTCTCATCGGCCCAAGAGTGTTCACAAAGTGCATGGCACCAGAGGCTGCTTACCTGAGGCGTCAAGGTGTTCAGGTTTATCCGTACCTCAATGATTGGTTCATCAAGGTTGTAGGGAAGATCACGGGATCACGTGCAGGGGAGCCTCGATCTGGTACGTTCCTCCTGTCTTGATCTGGGTCTGTTAATAAAAGAAATAGACTCTGATACTGGTGCAACGGCTATAATTTACAGGGGCGGTCCTCAACTCCACTTGGGCCAGAGTTTTCCTCCCAGACGCCCATTTCCGAGCAACGGCCAGCCTGATCTTGCATGTGAGGGCCAACACTCTTACCACCACTCACAAGTGCTCGAGATTTTTAGGCCACATGGCAGCCTGTACTTACATGGTACAGCACGCACGGCTCTATCTCAGATCCCCTGCAAGCATAGCTGGCGTTGGTCTACATCTGCAACAGGATGAGCTAGACTGTGTGGTAAGGGTGCTGGACAACGTACTGTTGTCACTGAAATGGTGGTGGGTCCCTGGATCGGTGTTGGAGGGATTCCCCTTTGCGTTCCTCTCCCTGTCGGTGACCCTGGTCTCCAATGCCTTAGACCTGGGGTGCGGAGCAAACCTGGGCAATCTTAGCATGCAAGGTTGTTGGTTGCGAGATGATCGCTCCCTCTATTTAAACGTCAGAGAGCTCAGAGTGGTTCACTTGGTCTGCTAGGCTTTCCTGCCTCATCTGAGGGGCAGGGTGGTAAAGATCCTGATGGATAATACCAATGTGATGTTTTACATCAACAAACAAGGCAGAGCCCTGTCATCAGCCCTTTGCCAAGGAGCTCCCTCGGGGGGGAACTTCTGTGTGTAGCATGCCATTTGTCTAGTGACCGAACACCTCCCCAGGGCCAAGAACGTGTTGGTAGATCACCTCAGCAAGACTTCATCTTGCCACGAGTGGTCACTCCATCCGGAGGTGGTCAGTGTGATCTTCCGGAGGTGGGGAACTCCCCAGGTGGACTGCCTGCATCCGGTTTTGCTACAAACAGGTGAAAGTGCCACCGCCGGCGATTGTAACTGCCCATTCAACCAAGGCACAAGCCTCATCGGCAACCTTCCTGGCCCAGGTGCTGATTCAAGATATCTGCAGGGCCACTACCTGGTTGGCCACCCACACGTTTACATCCCACTGTGCAATCACCCAGTAAACCCAGGACAGTGCTGGCTTCGGTAGAGAAGTGTTGGAAGCTCCACGCCCGTGAACTCTGAGCCCACCTCCCGGGATAATGCTTGTGAGTCACCTAGAATGGAACTGACATGAGCAAGCACTCGAGGAAGAAAAGACTGTTATCTACCTTTTGTAACTGTTGCTCTTCAAGATGTTTTGCTCATGTCCATTCCATTACCCACTCTCCTACACCTCTGTTGGAGTTGCCTTAAAAGCCTAGGGCCGGCGGCACCTCATATACTGGCACATGAGCATGGCACTCCAGAGGGCACCACAGCTGGCCTGACAGATACCACTAAGGCAAAAAATTCTGACAACTGTGCGTGTGGACACACACACACACTTAGAATGGAATGGACATGAGCAACACATCTCAAAGAACAAATTACAAAAGGTAGGTAACTGGTTTTTTTTGTGCTGTAGTCCTTTCCTGGAAAACTTTTTGTCTCCAATTTGAGCCTATAATTGTCATTCCCCAGACATCCTCTTTTGTTTTAAAAACAACTTTAATCATTATTACTACTTTGGCCAGATGAGTTTTTGACCTGAAAGATGTCTTCACCAGTAATTTGATCAGGTAGTCCATCTGAGGAGTTTTATTGCATTCATTGGCTTTCATATTTCTTCCCAAGCTAGTTACTCCTAAGGTCATATTGTCCAGGTTAGTGTATAGTGTATTGCACAGAGAACAAATGAAATAAGCTCACATACAAGAATACTGTATGTGAAAAGAGTGACAAGAATCTGTACATTTCTTATTGTAGAACTATCCAATGTATGCATAGCAGTTGTCTTTTGTTTTAATACCGTAATGAAATGTTAAGTAATTAACATGTTTTCTACAGGAGAATATTAAAAAGTGAACCTCCATATCCCCAAGAAATGAGTGCTTTAGCTAAAGATGTAATTCAGCGTCTTTTGGTGAAAGATCCCAAGAAAAGGCTGGGCTGTGGTCCAGGTGGTGCTGGTGAAATCAGACAACATCCCTTCTTCCAGGTGAAAGAAATAAAATTCTTCCTAAATTATTCTTCTGTCCCTTCACCTCCTTTGGAAATCTGAATCAAACCAGTTCCAATTTTTCTATCATGAGTCCTGATTCAGCAATATAGTGTAGCACCTGCATAACTTTAACTGTATGAATAGTTGCATTGAAGTCAAAAAGAGTGCTCATGTGCTTAAATGTATGCACATGCTGAAGTGCCTTATTGAATCAATACCTTTATGTTTACTTCAATTTTTTAAATACTATTGTTAAATAAAACAAAGGGACACAGCTTGCAGTGTTGTAAACTAATCAAATTTCTTTGCTCCTAATACCTTAAACTATTAAAAATGAAAGACTGTTTTAAATCATTTTACTTTTCACTATTTATGCTGTCTGTTCTTTACATTTTTCTTAGCTTGGATAATTGAAATGGAAACTGGATTAATACATTTTATATTTAGTCAGTTTCAGATTTCAGTGCATTTGTGTTTGGGTTGCAAATATTGAAAGAGAATGTGTTTGTGTAAAAACAGCTATACAGCTGTTTCCATTGGGATTAAAAAAACAAAAACCTGGAAACATTCCTTTTAATCTTAAACATAATAAAAAAATTATTTTTAGAAAATCTCAATTTTAAACCAAATTTGAATTGTCAGTTATTCCTTTAAAATTAACTATTCTTTTTAACAGGTTTCAGAGTAGCAGCCGTGTTAGTCTGTATTCGCAAAAAGAAAAGGTGTACTTGTGGCACCTTAGAGACTAACCAATTTATTTGAGCATAAGCTTTCGTGAGCTACAGCTCACTTCATCGGATGCATTCCTTTTTAAATAGGGATAAATTTTAGTGCTGAGGAAAATCAGGGACTAATGGCACAAGTTAGTTTGGGAAAGTATTATTTAAATTTTCCTTAAAAGCTCTATCTTGACTTTCAATACATCCAACATTACAGTCATTTAAAACATCCAGTTCCTTCTTATTCCTTTGAATTTCCTGTTTTCATACTGTGCAGGATAAAAAGGCACTGACAAATAATTTTATGAAATCATCTTCTGCTTTTCATTCTTCGGTGTTCGTGTTTGAAGATACATTTTTCTGCTGAGAGTGTTGCATATTCCATTACACAAGTATTGAATGGAGCAGGACTTAACAGCAATTTTCTGTTAACAACTGCAATCATAGCCTCTAGTTCTGACAATATGTTTTCGTTCAAGAATTGTCAGGTATGAATCTGTCACAGATTTCTGTGTAAAAGTTAGTTGTTAAGTGTTGCCATAGGTAAGGAAAGACAAAACACTGAGTTTTTTTTTCTGATCTAACTTATAAAATTGTGACTATTGTCTATTTTTTTTATTAGAAATGGAGAGAGAGTGATTTTAAAAAATGAAACACTATTTAGAATTTTGTGGCTTGTTTTCACTCATGTTATAGGAAACAGTTTGTGCCTAAACAGTAGGTATGTTCTTTTAAGGAAATTAAGCATAAGTTAGAGCAAACCTTTTCTTCGTCTTTAAGCAATTGTACACAGATTCCATTTTTGGTATGCATACACTTCATGCACACAAGATCCCATCCTTTTTGAATAGGAGTGTCCTTTAGGGCTGTGCCTGTGTCCTGAGAGCCGTGTGACTACCAGGAGGGTATAAGGGATGGACTGGTCTCAACAGCCTCAATTCCTTCCTGCCACTCATGGCTGTGAGACTGAACCCTATCGTGCCCATGTCTCTTCAACCTGCAAGAAATGTATTATTGTTGTTCTACTTCCTATTCAGCAGTTGTCAGCTCATCCATTTGTTCTTTTTAAAAAAAGAAAGAAATTTAGATAGAAGTTGCCTGTCGAAACATTGATAGGGTTTCTGTCCCCTCCCTTCTCTCCCTCCCCCACGCTCATTACAGGGTTACATTCCCATCCCCACTCCATACCTGAGGCCAAAATGACCAAAGACTGATGTCCAGGAATCAAGATCTGCCCCTCCTGTGTGACAGCAATGCCCATCAGCTATGGTCATGCAAACTGCCTTCCATACTTAGTTGAGGGGCGGCTGTCTGAATGTTGTTTGATGTGCAAGACTTTCTCAGATTGCACCCTGAAAGCTAGATATGGCAGATGAAGATACATCTCCTTGAGACTGTGACGAAATGTTGTAATACCCAGGCAAGCCCGCTGTGAGACCACATCCTCGTGGCCATTCTCACTTCTCTAGTGCCCCTGGGAGCATTGCTGGACCCAGGCAAACTCTCTGAGAGACCACATCCTCCTGGCCAGTCCTACTCCTCCAGTGCTCCTGTGAGCCTTAATGTCACACTGAGCTTGAAGGACACTTACAAATCTTGCTTTTCAGCAGATTCAGCTTTGACACAGGATAGGCAACAAGGAGCTCCATGATAGAGACCAGGGAAAGTGCTGAACTCCCTCCTCATCTAAGAGGAAGAAGTCCTCTCCTTAGGTTTCAACTCATCAGAGGCTTAAGACTGAATCTTGCCTAAGTGCAAAGGCAAAAACAGCACCAATGGTCGCTTCCCAGAATAAGCATTGCACTTTCCCCAGTACCACTCAAGCAGCTGACCCTGCACTGGCACTGTTCAGCAGTACTAGACAACCTGGCACCAAGGAAACGGATGCCAAAATGGGGATACCAAGCAAGCCCGCTGACATGGGGGCACAAAAGGGGCAATTGCCCAGGGGCCCAGGTGATTTTAAAGGTCCTGGGGGCCGCTGCCATGAGCCCCGTGTCCTTTTAAATCGCCCGAGTGGGACCCAGGGCTCCTAGGCACGCGCGCACGTGTGCCTGCTCCAAGCCCCCGCTCCGAGGCCTGCGGGCTGGCGCGATTGGCCAGCATGGGCAGACCCCCTCCCCTTCCCTCCCCCGCAGGGATGGCTCTGGCCCTGGGGCCTGGAATTTCTGTCGGCGGGCCTGATACCAAGCATCACAATGCTGAAGAAATCAAGTGAGAGTTCTTTACCTGCACACATGGGCTCATTAGCACTGATGTACTTGTTGGCACCGGCAAACTTAGTGGTGAGACTAGTAGCGGAGTCCCTGATCTTAGACAGACTCTGAGAGGCCAGGTCCATCTCACAGTCTGTAAAAACCAGCCATAGACCTAACCATACAGGACTCACTTGGAGGGCTATTCCTCACCTATTGAAGAAGACGTTGCCTTTTCACCTTTCTCAGGTGATTGCAGCAGACCATCTTTACCAGAATACAACCCACCCTTCCAAAGATGGCTCAGTGGGACATGGACAGTCAGTCCAGGGAAGAGTCCATAAGAGGCAATCGCATGTTGCCAGGCTCCTCTAGAGAACCACCAAGCTGGTGTCCATCCATTATAAGTAGCATCAGTGACGCAGTTGGTCAACTTCTTGAGAAAGGACTATTCTCAGTAAGTGCCCAATCAAGAAACACTTAACTGACAATGGACTTTGGGAGATGCCAGTCCACATCTGAGCTTTCCTGGGAACGTTCAAACTAATATGTAAACAATGGCATTAGCCTGCAAAAAGGTGAATCATTGCTGGAAATGTGACTTGCCCAGGTGGCTACAAACTCCATCTTGTTGCTGTGACTTTGCACAGAAGAACAAATGGTTTCCGTCCACAAGAGAGAGAATATAAAAGGCCCTGGAAGCCTCTCCATTTTGTCTTCAGCTGGCTCAAGAGATGAACTCTCCACCCCAAAGAGATGCCTGAAAGAAACTGGAACAAAGATCTGTAACTACAGGCATATGCGTGATTGCTGTACCCAGGCCATAAGCCACAACCTTGGTCTGAAGAGGATTGAGCCCAGACTAGGAGGGAGTCTAGTCTGTGAAAGAAGCTTATTGGGACATCTCTGAGGGTGACATTTACCTATATTCAGTTTCATACTGTATTAGGCTTAGACTTGTGTGTTTTGTTTTATTTTGCTTGGTAACTTACTTTGTTCCGTCTGTTATTACTTGGAACCACTTAAATCCTACTTTTTATATTTAATAAAATCACTTTTGCTTATTAATTAACCCAGAGTAAGTAATTGCTCCCCCAGGTATTAAACAGCTGTGCATATCTCTCTATCAGTGTTATAGAGGGTAGATAATTTATGAGTTTACCCTGTATAAGCTTTATACAGAATAAAATGGATTCATTTGGGGGTTTAGGCTCCCAGAAAGACTGAATACTGGGTGCTGGGAACATCCCTGTTAACTGAGAAACCTCTGGGCTAAGTGAATCTTAGTTTCTGTACACTGCAGGGGGGCATGGCCCAACCTCTTGGTTTGTGCTGTAGCTGACTGAAATGTGTAACTCAGCAAGATGGGAGTCGAGGGAAGCCTTCTCTGGCAGGGGGGTTTGTTCTCAGTGGTATCCCAACACATCTAGTTGACAGTCTTGAGGGAGTTTCTGTGACTGAACTTATCACAGATACCTCTTGTGGAGAACTAGTATTTCACACTTGGTAATGCATCTCTCTTTACTGGGGAGGTTTAGAGTTTCAGAGCAAACGTTTGAATACTACTTTTATAACATGGGCTATAGCTATTATAAGTTGGATTAGTGCATGCAGCAACTCACAAGCATTTCATAAAGTCTAAACACATTTTTATAAATCTAATACTTATTTTAACTCTACTAACACACAGGGTGAGCCAGACTGGTTTCCAGCTATATATGTGTCAGTGTACACTTGAGCCCTAGGGGCTTTTGCATGAGCTGGTACCTGATCTCCCAGTGTCACACCTTGAGCATTCAGAGGGAAGGCTTCTACTCCCATTATTACTTGATCACAATGAAGAGATGTTGGTGGAGACCCATTCTAGACCTTCAATGTCTCAATGCCTTCATTTGTCATTTCAAGTTCAGGATGGTCACCTAGTCTCTGTCATCCCCTCACTGGATCCTATGGACTTGTTCATGTCCCTTGGCCTGCATGATGCCTACTTCCACAGCTCAATACTCCTAGCGCACAGAAAATTTCTGCAATTATTGGTAGGGACATCCCAAGGTGGATTGATTTAAATCAGCTATTTCAATCA